CAATTACTTGGCATGTCATTCCTGTGATATATATGCGTTAAACTGCCAAACAACTACTGCTACAATATCAGGAGATATTTTTCTTTTAAACTCTGCACAGACTAAGAAGTGAGTATAAAATAACTTTTCATGTTAGTGTCATACATTGTTCCACAAATGACAGTTATTTTGCTCTTCAGCTATTTAGTACAGTATGTTATTATGTGTTAGACAGACAGAAGCAGCACCATATTGTAAGTCACTTTATTTGATGTCTACAAATACATTTGTTCTCTGTTTTTAAAGTGTTCATGCAGGAGTACATGTGATCTGAAAGATGCCCATTCGCCTGGGCTCCATTGTTAATAAACCAGTACTGCCTTTCTTGAATAAAACTGCATCACTTTACAAGAAACTAATTTCATTACTATAAGTAAATTCAGTCATTTCACCAGGTTTTGAGAGTTCAGCACAGAATACTGTATTTAAATATGATTACCTATAAAGAAACCTCTAATATTTCCAATATATGTCCATTTTTAAAACTCTTCCGAGAGATTCAGTGTTATTGTCTGCAGATTGCAGTACTTCTATATATACTTGTACAGTATTGTGTTAACTAAACTATTTTGAATAGCAAAAGCATGCCAAATATAAAAGATCATTTTTCTCCTACGAGTTATTATAATTTACAAAGGCATTATAGTTTGTCCCCTGGTATTAAAAACAACAGAATTATGATTAAATACTAGATCATTTTAAAATAGTTTATATTGAAATAGGTGATTTATTAGGACTCATATCATGGCACAGCTCTAAAGAACGCCTTCAATGAAGGCCTGATCTGTGTCTGATCCGAGGGGGAAAAAAAACAGGGAAGTCTGTATTCTGCAAGAAAAGAATATTGTGACAATGGGATGGCAGGTTTGATATTTCATTATGTTACATATAATAAGCACCAAACACTTATATAATAAGCACAACTTCAAGATGATGATGGGTAAAAAAATTAATGTTTTTTTGTTTTTTTTTAGCAGAGGACAATGACAGAAGCTGAATGGCTAAACGGCTATCAGTTCACACTTATTTCCAAAGATCTTGGCTTTAACATCTTTCTGCATGTGCAAATGTCTTTTGCTTACAGCGTGCATCATGCATTCAGTCCTAGAGAAGAGCACAGGCTTTAAAAGACAAACATCTTCCCTTGGGATATTAACGATAAATCATAGATCATGGCCTAAACATTCAAGGCACTTCAGGGTGACTGTGATAAACTGTGATACAGAAGTCAGTTTGCCTCCAGAGTCTGAAAGATGCCATGAAATTATAGCAGTTGATAATTCTCCATTTTTGTCATAGCATAAATGTATCCCTTCTAATAATTTTGAAATCGTTTGGTTGTAACTGGCAGGTTGTTTGTGTGATTGTTTTACTATGTAAAGTTTGTGGTACGCAATGTTTTAGCAATAAAATGTTGAAATTAAATAATTCAGCATTTACTTTAGTCGTAGTTACGCTGTTTAATCATGAAGACAATTGGAATGTAATTGTGAACTGATATAAACAACTATTCAGAATCCACCACCATGAGGCTTTGGAAACACAACAATAAATGAACTATGAATAATGATTTGAAAGTCAGGCAACAAATTTGAATGAAAAATGTTACCTGATCTCTTTCCAATTTCATGTGATAGTGAAAAATTATTTAATGAAAGAAAAGCTGATATACATGAAGCCTTCCTCCTTGCAATATTCAAATATATTGAGGGTCATTAAAATTCAGGTGACCCTACTTAACCCTTCAAATCAATGGCATTGATGTCTTATGAATGTAAAGAGCATATTTCATGTGCTTACAATGAAGAATTGTGAAAGGTGTAGCACACTAGTAATGCCGTGAATACTGAGTGCTGCTGTTAACACTTCTTTTCTGTAATTACAACAATCCGTATATATCACATAACGCAAGCACATGCTATAAGAGATACCGGAATAAATGAGTGCTTTCTTTAAGCAGAATATGCGTCTTTGCATGGGCACAAACTGTCCATCTTTTGTTTAAACAGGAAGAAAAGCAACATAACTAAAGGATGAGAAGTTTAATCAATGAGGTTGAGCTAAAATTCAGTCCCTAAAAGCGCCTGGCAGTTCACCTGTGGCTCTAAACCAAGTCAAAACAATCGAAATGTGTGCAAGCTACGTTGTTTTTCAAGGCTCGGTCTTCTATATTAAGCACATGGAGAGAACAGAACCAAGAGGTAGATATTCTTGTTCGTGAAAAGCGTGTTTAAAGTGCCCAAAGTAGCCCTTCAACCTTTGCAAAAAAAGACTGAAGCACCCTTAAAAACAAGAAAAGACACTCGCTTCATCCACAAATAATTCAATTACTTCCCTCCTGCCCAATGCGGCGCCAGAGGCCAGAGTTTTCCATCACTTGAACAAATAAACTTCACGTTACATTCAATATGCACTTTACAACAATATTGAACTGTCAACCCACAGTAGACACAACACAGATTTCTTTCAATCTTAACTGAGTAGCTTTTTCATCAAGAAGGATTTTATATATGACATATTATGTGACCGAAGAGACTAAGGAATATCAGAAAAAGGGCAAATGTAAACCAGTGTTCCACCCAATTTCAGGAAACCATTCCTCAGTCACTAATTATTCCAATATGACAATTAAGATATTTGCATAGGCAATATGGGATTAGCCCTTAAACAGTACGTTTCCTGAATTCTTCGTGAGTATATATCATAATTATGCTGAAAAGAATTCAACAAACAAAAGAAAATGCTACTCTTCTTTGTAAACCCATCTCCTTTACAGTATTAGGCTTCAAGTAGATCAAAATAAACATGTAACATTAACTAGATGAGAAAAAAATAACTAAGCATAACGAGAGGTAGTGGAAAACCAATGAAAACGAGACGTAGTCGTCTGTGTGGACGGCGCTTCTATAATCACATAACACAGGCTCCACTTCATTGGCTTAGAAAAGGAGCCTTTTGGCAAGAAAGGTTATTTTTCCAAGTCATACCAAGCTGATAAAATCATTATCAACAGCTGTTAGCCAACAGCCGTCAAGTGAAAAACTCCGAAACTCTCTAAATCGGATAAAACATTAGCAGCAAAAATAAAGCTGAGGCATTGAAATGAAACAGATAACTACTCTCTAAAGGATGGTTTGCATGTTCTTGTATAATCTGCAATCCAATTAATAATAAGTGAAAACTTCTATTATGATTTATTTTAAATCTATCCATATCGGCTTTAAATAATCATATATTCACTCTGTTCCCTGTCCAGTAGTTTCAATGACTTCTATGACGTTGGACTTCCTGGATTACTGACATGTACGGATTGAAATAGTCATACAGTCACGTTAATTTTCATTGACATTTATCATAAAACTTAAGAGTAAATGTGTGTCAATTTCCCCCCTCAAAGATAGTTTGGTACAGTAAATGTCCATGTGTCATGCAGGGTCTTTTGCTTTCTTTTTTTTTTTTTGCGCAAAACCATTTTTATTTATCGCTCATTTCTTTAATGACATGATTTTTTTTTCTTTAAAAACAAACAAGAAAATTCAATCATTTTGTTTTAGAAATGTTGGAAAGCCAAGCTTCCCATGATGGTTCGCTGCTTCAGTAAGTAAACTACTAGGTAACACCTATTCGGTTTGTAAAACAACATAAATAAAGGACCTACTCACATTGGCTGATGCTCAAACATTTGAATACTTCAAAGAAGGATATCTATGCACTCGGTAAAGTGACAAAGGTCTTCATTTTAATGTGGTAAACCTGCAGAGTGAATGGCACTTAACTCTCAGAGCACCAGTAAGAAAACCCAACAACAACAACACACTTGATCATGATTTACTTCACAAACGTTCATTCATTGGCACAAGAGTTCAGGGAAAGTGACACTTTGAGGTTGGGTATGGTGACCAAAAAAACGTCGGTTTAAATGCAATTCACTCTTGAATTTCTCCGCTAAAAGGTGAGAGAGTGGTTTAACACACCAGTATTTTAAATGTCGTGTTCTCATGCACTGGCTGCTGCGATTGCAATAGCACATAAATGTCTAGAAAATTGAACAGCAACATTCAAGTTTGAATCCAACAACGCGTTCTTGAGGGACACACGTCTAAACCTCGAAAGGAAATCATCTTTTGTAAGTATCATCTTCAACGTGATGATACTTCATCACATCATATCTGGGTTGAGTATTGCAATGTGTACATGACACAACAGAAGAAACGCAGGCTGGAAAAAAGTATTATAAAAAAGACCGACTTGCTTTTGTTTTGTTTTTTTTTGTTTTTTTCTCGATAACCTGCGGTTTTCCGAGCTGTGAAAATGACCGCTCCTTGTTTCAAGTCGCAAAAACCAACATTTGGACTTGGAGGCAGAGAAAAGTTTCCCTGATGGATCCGACTCTGTCGCACCACCTCATCGAGCAGGTCTCGGCGATCACAGTTATTTTAAATAGACCTAGTGTAACTCTCAAAAACAAGGCATAGTGTTCACTACACTTTTGTTTAATAAAATACATTTCTTTAATGTGTAAGACAATTCGAAGCTCTTTTAAGAACCTCCAGAACGTTGGTGAGTGATTTTCAAGCAATTCTCGCTCAATCCGACGAAGCTTACAGCCCATGACATACAGTACCTGTGCTTCTCTCTGTTAGTAACGGACTGGGAGGGGCTAGGAGGACTCACACAATAAACTGTGTCGTCACCAGCATCAGCAGCTTTTGTGCCCTTACTCAAGTGTCGAGGCATTGTGATTTTTGCAGAGAGAAAGAAATGTTCATGATTCATTTAGCTGCCCAATCACAACACTAGCTAGCCCTTATGTTTCCCAGTTAAAGAACTGTCGACACGCAAAGAAAGAGTTTGGATGGCGGTTACGCTTCCCAGCTTCTCTTTTACAAAACAATTGGCACAGCTAATTTTCCCTTCGCTTACGAGAGCTTTACAATGTTCTCTCCCCATGACAGCATAAAAAATAAAAAAAACCTTGTAGACCGGGGCTTAAATGTCAAACTGGAGTAAATTCCATAACCTTGTATCATGCAAAGGTTTTCTAGCTTAACATCTACCGCTTATCCGTTGTTTTTTGATTTTCTTTAAAAAATGATAATAATAATAACATTATTCAGCTGTCCTCAGATATGCGAGGCATTAAAAGATGGAAAGGATCAGGTAGAAAGAACACACAGAGAGAAAGAGAACAGGTGATGTAAACAGGAAGAGAGAGGAGATTTGAGGAGTCAAAAGAGACAAAACAGGTGAATGAAAAAGACAAGCAAGTTTAAAGTAGGAAGTATGGATCTGTCAGATTTCCTACATGTGTTTTTTTTTCTGTGTCACAGTTGCCTGAGCAGCTCATATTGGCACTTAAACAGAACTGAACTTCAGGGTCACTAGTGGATGCTCAGAATTGCTTAACTACTCACTCTTGAAATAAGAAACATCACACCTTTTGAAAGTGGCACCTTGGGGCTTTTTTGTCACAAATGTTCTTGCTGAAACCTAGGTGTCTAAGCAGGCCCTCTTGCTGTTAAGGAGATCCCTGTAAACAGATGAGTTGAGAAACCGGGGGAAGGAGTCTCTGTGCATGAGGGTGTAGATCTGAAGCTGGGCCTCCTCATACATCGTACTGCTGGGCTCTGCCAGGCTTTGGTTGATGACTTCCCTCACCCGTGAATCCAAGCTGACCTGCCGGCCGACAACGAATGTAAAGATCAACAACTTTACGTGAAGATTATAAAACATTGTTCATGTTTATATTTTGTGTGAAATATTTCACTATATTGCATATATTTCATATTATAATTCAAAATATGTTTTTTTTTTATTTGGAAACTAGGTCCATTTTTGTTAAAACATGGCAAAAAAACTGACCATTTTGAGAATTTATTGTGCATAAAATTTTTTTAAGAACTACTAATACCTTTAAAGCTTTGTGTGAAATATTGTATGCAAATTTATAATTTGTACAGTTAGATTATAGGGTACTTTTTTTAAATTACAGAAAAACATGAAAAAAAACAACAGATGTGAAGTTTGAAGATGCATCCTTTTCATCAGACTCAAGTTGTACATATAAAAACACCCATAAATAACAATCACAAATTGTGAGATGGCATAAAAAAACTGACCAGCTATTTAGAGTTTTCACACGCACAAAAAAAAACAGCTTGCAAAGATCTACAATAGCTTAAAATATTTTTATGTGGTTTTATGTGATTTTTTTTATATGAATTAATAATCATTACCTTAAAGCTTTGTGCAAAATATTTACAGCAAAAATAATTAAAAAAAAAAAAAAAAAAAAAAAAACATTTAATGAACTAAGAAAAACAGATGTGATGTTTCTAGCTACTGTTGTATATAGAAAAAACACTCATATAAACCCATGAATATCAAAAATCGATTTATTTTTTTGTCAGGTGGCAAAAAAACACTAACAATTCCGAATATGCTTGTGCACAAAAAATGCTAGAGAATATATTTAGTTTTATTATTAATGTAATATGAATATCTTATATTTTTATGTTGTCATATTTTGTTTACGGTCGTATTGCAGTCAGACAGCATCACGTATTCTAACCTCTTTTGGCGAAAGAATAGAGACGTAGTCTTCATAAATGATCCTGGCTTTTTCATCGATAGTTAATGGGTTGGTTTCTTTCTTTAGTTCCTCACAGGCGATCCAGAACATCAGGTTTTCTTCACTGTACTCAGACCGCAAGAACTCCCGGAAAACATCCCTCCCCTCTGGAGAGCGCATCACCATCTCAAAGCTCCGTGACCAGGCACTCATCTCATCCAGTGTGGGATGCCTTCAAATGGGAGACAATGAAAAAAAGCAGGAACTACCCATATAAAATAACTTTACTTCAGCTGTCAGTAAATAAACTGTATGGAAATGTATTAAAAGGCACTTGATTGGAAATTAGATTACCCCAAAAAGGACTTGGTAACAAACTGTGTGAGATTTTTAGATGATTTCACTCATTTTAACAGGACGTTGGGGAGGTATGAACACAAGCACTATAAAAAAGCACCAAACATCTTGTCCCTGAACAATAACAGACGTTTCTAATAACTCACTGTTCCTCTGTTGCTTCTATGCTATCCATCTTTGTACATGTTTGCCTCTCTGAACGTTCCCTTCTGTCTTCATTCCTAGGGTGAGAAGAGAAGTGTTAGACACAGCAAAGCCTCTGTGGCATTTGAAACATGTTGAGTTGATCATCATGCAAGGTTATACACTTCTGGTAAAACTAGAGACTGGAGATTAACAGCTGTTATTACAGTACATAGCCATTCGGGTGCTACCTATAAAAAAGTTTTCAATTTTTCATTTTGAAATAAAAGATGGTGTATTATATTCTTAACCAGTGATTTTAAAACTTTTTAATGGCCCAAACTGTAAACATTTTTCAAAGTTGTAAAAAAAAAAAACATTTATAAGATTTCTAAGAAAATACTGTTTCAGTCTTTCTGCTTCGAAATTTCTCATTTAATTCAATGTGTTACTACTGTTTCTTTGTAATTATGTGTAAAATTTACCAGCAATTTTTGAGTGAACACTAAATTTTTCCCCTTGTACAAAATATATAAAAATACAAACCTAAGGCCATTTATACGGTAATTTACTGCATTATTTAAAAAGGAATAATAATAGTCACCAAGTTTAAGTATTCCTTAAAAAGGAATAATAATAGTCACTGTTTTTTACTTCTTAAAGGGATAGTTCACCCAAAGCCCCGATTTGTGTGTGAGCAGATCGGGAGGTGCAAGATTCGATCGGTGAACGCCTCACATTACCAGATAATCCGCGCCGAACATCGGGACCGATCGAGGGTCTCGACAAGATTTTTGCTCCGATTCTCGGGAGGGGGAAATCGGGGCTAAATCGGCTAAAAATCCTATAGTGTGAGCCAGGCTTTAGTCACCCTCATGTCATTCCAAACCCGTAAGACCTTTGTTCATCTTCGGAACACAATTTAAGATATTTTTGATGAATTCCGAGAGCTTTCTGACCCTCCATAGACAGCAATGCAACTGAAATGTTCCCAGGTTTAGAAACGTAGCAAGGACATCAGTATAATAGTCCATGTGACATCAGGGCTCCAACCGTTTTTTACGAAGCTACAAGAATACTTTTTGTGCACAAAGAAAACAAAAATAACAACTTTATTCAACAATTCTTCTCTTCCTCATCCCGTCTGCGTGCCGCCATTGTGGAAAGAGTATCACGACGCATGCATTCCATCATCTGCGTGTAACAACTTTTGCGAGTTCTGCTGCTTACGTTGAACACGCACATGTGTCAGCACGCGCATGCGTCGTTTAGGAGAAGAATTGTTAAAGTTGTTATTTTCGTTTTCTTTGCGCACAAAAAGTATTCTCGTAGCTTCGTAAAACTACCATACCTGCAAATTCACAAGAGGTCAAAAAGGTGACATAGTTCGTAATATGAGCCCTGTAGGGGGGTCTGGGGGTCTAGGGGTCTAGGGGCGGGGCGGGG